CATTATTTTGTATTTTGTGTGTGGGTGGGTGGGGGGGGGGGCGTTGCTGACACAGAGCGAGCAGACAGTAATTAAACACTAGGTGGGGTAAGCATGCTGTGAACTGTAGGAACACATTTATAACTTTCTGCGTCCATCCTCCTCATATTTTCGGATATATTGAATTAAATTATTTACATTAAAATTTAGATAAAATTATATTATATTAAATTATATTATAAAATATAGATTAAAAAATATGTCAGTGAAAGCACAGTGTTTATTCGAAATCACAACCAAGCAGCTCAACTCTCATAGTGATGGACTTCTGCCATTGTTTTGGAATAATTCGGATGAATCTGGAAAATATTGGTGGGTAGATGTAGTTCTTTACTTGGCCATAGTTATCTGTGTTGCCTTGAAAAGTCTGTGAAAATAAAATACAGTTTTATTTTTAAGGATGTGTCTTTCATCCTAAAAACACAAAACACTGTTTATTCCCACAGATTTTCCCACAGTGTCTTTTTCCAAGAAACTTGTTCTAATCACAAAAAAGTGAGACCGCTTACCTTTTGATCAAATTTGATCATAATTTGATCATAATTTGTCCATATGCTGTCACAAATATCTCATTGCCCATTGCCTAACTCATGGTCCCCTGTGTTATAATCCCAGTTATTCCATGGTCTGTCTGATTACTGGATTCTGATTGGCTGGCAGGTATGCAGTAAAGTGACGTGACGTGACACGTGACATGTGATCCATACTCTGCATTTACCCATCCAAAGTGCACACACACACACTGTGAACACACACCCGGAGCAGTGGGCAGTGGGCAGCCATTTATGCTGCGGTGCCCTAGGAGCAGTTGGGGGTTCGGTGCCTTGCTCAAGGGCACCTCAGTCGTGGTATTGAAGGTGTAATGTTAATGTAATGACCTGTTAATGCACCTCTGCTTTGCATTGGGTGGTTCTTTCCTTTAATGCACGGCTAGCCCTTGATTATCCCTTACTTATCTTCTTTTTATCCTTGAGTTCCACCTCAGGGCTGAATATCATTGTTCTGTAAATTGCAGACAGTTTATTGAGGCTTGAGGTTGATTTGAAGTGCAGCAAATACCTTTAAAGGTTTCATTTATGAGGTATATCTTAGCTGCCTTGGCTTTCCATGCATTGATGGTCCCATGTTTATTTAAGCGTGCATACCAAGGATGCCACTGTCCAGGGTACCAACTGAAGGCCAAAGAACTGGCAGTGATTTGAGCATTTATTTTAATCAATGGGTACTTCTAGTTTCTGTAAATAAAACTAAAATAATAATAGTAAAAATTAAAATAATAACATTTTAGAAACCCAGAATTTTAGTAGGTGAACGTTTTACATGACTCTTATGGTCATTTGTGATTTACTGAATAAGGATTAAGGATACAGATTTTTGAAAATATTTTTTACTTGCAATTTGAACCCCAAAAACATTTTTAGAGGCATAAATAATATAATGCACTACTGTATATTCATTACCTGAATTTACATTACTTTTTACAAGGTCTTGAACTACATTACATTATATAGGAAATCAAGATTTTACAAGACTGTGGGAACCCTGGTTCCTCAGAGGAAGCAAACAGCTGTTGAGGAGGTAAATTAAAATAATATCTGGATTTTTAGTTGTTTTAGCTTGTGTTTTCTCATTTAAATGTCTTGAGGCAACCTTGGAAGTTTGCTGAGTCCCCCTGTTTGAGAACCTTTAACACCCTTATGCTGTACATTAAATTTACAACTACACAGAAATAGTCACTTGCCTAACCCTTTTAGAAGTTCCACTTCTTTTTGTCAGTGCTGTAGGAAATGGTGTAGTTCAGCACAAAATTATGTGTTAAGAATTGCTTAGCTCCCTGTGTGGCAACTTTACTAATCACTACCGGTCTCTGGAAGTCCACCTGGAATACAGGATACAGCCTCCTCAAGTAGTCATTAGCATTTCTTTATTTATGGGCTAATTGTCTGCACACTATTATGAGTGGTTACCTGAATGTGCTGTCCTGTCTTTTCTGTACTCCATGCATTGTATTTCCCTGTATTATGTAGTCTGGCCAAATGAGGATTCCATTGTCCTTAAAAACAGAGTTAAATGTGTAAATAATGTGACCCCAACTATGCTACATAAAAAGCTATGCTTTCAAATCCTACCTCTAGAGTCAGATGCTGTAATGTGCTCATCTTTCACAGTTCCAGAGATGAGACCAAGAGGATGATCACAGACTGCAAAATAGATCAGGTAAGATTTTAAGACCTGACAGAATCAGTTGTTTTCTTGTAATAAGATCAATCAGCATGATAAATTACTGTATGTGATACCGTTATCTAACACAAGGAGTAACGTCTGTATTCCCCTCTGCTGTGAGAGTCCAACTTCAGACTCCAGCTGCCAGAGACCAGGCTTTGAAGGCAACATTTCCAGTGTGACAAATCCACCTAAATGATTGGATCTGAGTGTGAATGGCCTTTCTAGATCATCTAGGTAACTCACCTGATAAAAGTGGGTAAATACCCTAACGGGTGATCCTTTAACTCCTTATTTATGAACGTTTGACCATGGAAATGGACACTGTGGAGGCACTCCACTCCACCGTATAACACTTTAGAACAGCCCATGTTGATCAGATGCCACTTCGCTAGCTGATTTGTGTACATTCATAGTCCTTTGAGACTGTAGATAATACCATTGATAGCTGACAAAACAAATGTAACAAATACAAATGTATTTAATTCAATATTTTGAATGGTCTCAATACTTGCTCCAATTTATTTAGATTTAATCCAATGATAATGACTGTAATACTCCATTATAATGAAAATAATGGAGCTGAAAAAAGCTGAAGATAAATAGTTTTCTTACTGTCAAACTTTAAATTATTTAGAAAATTTGGATCCATGACTGCTCTTTTGTTTTTCCTTTCAATCCTCTTCCAATTCTCCTCGTAGTACCAGCTCTTATTCTCATCTCGTCATAAAAAGCAGGATGAACTCTCTTCTGTCCAGAGGCTTTTTATCCAGGATACCCTTCCTGCACACCAGAAGCGGTCCAATCAGCCCAGAGTTTATGTCTCTCTCTTATGCAAGAAAGTAATTCAATTGTAAGTGGAAATTAATAATAGTTATTTGACACTAATTTGTATTTAAATGAACTTATTTGTAACATGGACAGCCCTTGTGGAGCAGTCTTAAATTAAGAGGAATATGAAGGAACATTCATGCTTATAGGATTCACTGCAAAGTTGCAGGTCCATGTTCGACAGTCAGATTCATTATTTTGAGGTCCAGATTTCGAATTTATAGTCCACATGTAAATAAAGGTGCTGTTGGGTTGTACGGCATCATCCTGTTTGTACCAGTACGGTGATTGATCATCATAACTCAGGCCTTCCATTTGCTTTAAGTACTTTACTCCATTTGCATGCAAAGAGTACGGGCGGCTGGCAAGGTTCCTGAAAATTACCTAGCACGAAAAACAGGAATGTAATGGTTTGTGTTTTTTTTTTTTTCATATGATTTGATTCTAATTTTCACATGTGCACAAGTATGTTCACATTCAGTGGTGTACCATAACAGTCTGATCAACTTCAGCTTTAATGACCGGACCCAGAATTCCCAGGCATTAATTTCCCCTCTGATGTCTCTGATAGTAAAGGTGCTGTCAAGGTACTTTCTGAACACCGCTTTTTTGAAAGCTGTAGGCCTCTCGTTTTGAGATGATTTATCAAGCCTCCTTTGCAAACATAAAACAGTGATTTCACAAATGAGTTACACTGAGTTATTCATATATTCATGCTTTTTGTTTCTAGAAATGCAAAATTTTGATTATTTGAAATACATGATGCCAACAGTACCTCTGCCCATAACCAGCATAATCCCATTCTTCCTCTTCAACTGAGATGAAATAAGTTCTGGTATCCTTGTCTCCAGCAAGTTTTAAGAAATGCTGAGATGTTATATTAAGCACTGTGCTTTGAACATTTGCTTGTTTGCTATAAGGGTCTTTGTACTCTATATTCATATTCAAAATCTTCACCCTGCTCTTGTTTTGGAACATATAACTCATAATCATTGAAATCACATCTTGGCACTCCTATGATGATGGATTTCCCCATCAGGTCGTCCTCACTAGACACAGGCCTGGTTCCCCTTGGGGTCAACACAGAAGCTCCTAAAACTCTTGGAGGAATACCTCTTGGAGAAAAATCAGAATGTGGCTGTGGCCTATACTCTTTCCTTTTCTTCGTCTTCATGCCATATGCCTTTCTCGGCAATCTTTGGCTTATTTGATTTTGCTTCAGATTTGTCTGTGATGTATTTGTTCATGTGATCTGGGATTTCCATACGAACCAGTTCATGTTTGCCTTCATAACCCTAGTGCTCTTCTTTTGGCTCGAGATGAGATGTGAGTATGGCCTCGCTGTGATTGTTCTTCAGATAGATGACTACTTCCTCTTCACCTTTGCTTTGAGCTGTTCTTCATGGATGAAACATTATTGAAAGGGCTAAGAGAAAAGGACGTGTTCTCTGTACTGTCTGAAGAAAAGAGCTCTGATTCTCAAAATTTCACTGGGAGATTTCATTGTAACATTAGTGGATGATGTTCTTTTCTCTGTTATTTCAGATTCAAGGCCGAGACTGAAATCAGACAAAGTTGCATTCGAAGATTCAGACTCATTGCTTTGCAAAGTGCTGTTTCTTAAAGGCGAAGACAAACTGAGATTAAAAATGCTCTTAGTTTCAGAATTTATCTGTGAAAACATCTCACTGGTGAATCATGATGCACATACCCATCCATGTTTTCAGGCATATTTGGAGCATAATCCCAGAAATCTTCTGCTGCTGTATAGTAAGTCCACTCTTGGCTTTCTTGTTTCTGTTGGATGGTAAGCCATCTATTTGGTGCTGTGTACTCCTCACACGTCTTGATATTTAGATATCCATGCAAACCAGCTGCGAATATGACATCAACATCACTTTTATAAAGTACAAATTGTCAGCATTAAAAGTGTTTCTACAAAGCTATGAATAAAGCCTATGTAGGTTGACGTTTTAAATGAATAATTCATGAAATTTTGTGGTTTCCCTGGCAGGTCTTACCTTCCAAGTGCCTGCTAATGTGAGAGGAAATAAGCCAGCGGCCGGGGTGGACACCAGTCATACTGGCACTAGTGGCAGTTCCACTAATGATGCCAACAGATGAGGTTTTGTGTCCATCATGCAGAAGGACTTGCCCATTGAAGTGTACAGAGAAGAGCTCTGGCTCAGAGCTCATTCACAGCAGGTGCCAGCTGACTTTGGAGTGGGCACAGATGTCCAGATCTTGACAAGGAGGAGTTTTACACGTAAGTAGATTTGCAGAAATTATATGTTATGTGTGAAAAATATCAAACCAACCTGGTACAGAGCCATTTGTGTAGATTTGTAGTGTATTTCACATTGTGTGCCCGTTCAGGGCCCCCAGTGCTGTACCAGCTCTTGTATTCATCAAACACTCCAAACAACAGCACAGCCTCCTGATGGAAATTAATCTGATTTCTGGAGCTGTCTAGGGTGCCTGTGGGACAAAGACACATTCATTGTCTAGACAAACAGAGCTGTTTATAATTGCGTAATTTGTGGGAAACGGTGGGCTATAGGGTAAACTGGGGGAAAGAAGTCCCCCGTAAGGAAAGTGTGCATTTTCTACTTGCATATTTAAAATAAGTTCAGCATGTACATTGAAATGATGCATCATTCAGTGTATTATATTATTAAGGTAAATAAATGAAGACATATGCTCGTTTTTTAATTGAATAATAGAAAAATCATAGTTTAAATTCCGTTATAGGTTTGCAAGGATTAACAGACAATGAAATGAGAATCGTGACTTTGAGTTGACAAACAAAGCAAAACCTGTGGTTTTAAGCCAAAATAAAAGCTCTATGGTTTAACATTTGAAAGCAAAGAAATCAAGATATTATATATGAAATTATGTTGTTTGGTCAAATAAACGTATTATTATTATTAGATATTTAAAAAAATATATATTTTAGAGCACAATAGTGTTATTATTACACGGCTCTGTGGAATACTTGATTCTGATTGGTCAGTTGCGACATGTTATCCCTCGATAACATGATCTGAGAAACTGAAGTCGGCGCTGTACTCTTGCTAGGAATTGTTTTTTCTTGGTGGAAGCTTTGCGTTTGTTTAGCTAATAAAATATTAAAACTCGTCTTCCTGGACTCGCTCTCTCGTTTCATGCAAACGCAGCTGCTGCCATTTTGCAACTATTGTTTTGTACGCTGTAATGGATTATAAGATAACTAACAAACTGGTAAGATTTTAAAACATTTTCGTCTTAAATCTTTTATTGCCTTAATTATTTATGTGGTGAAATGTTGGTTTGACTGCACCATTTCCCTTAAAGGGGGTCATATGATGTTGCTAAAAAGATTATTTTGTGTATTTGGTGTAATGAAATGTGTTTAAGGTTCAAAAAACACATTATTTTCCACATACTGTACATTATTGTTTCTCCTCTATGCCCCGCCTTTCTGAAATGCATCGATTTTAGTGAGCTAGAGTTAGCGGAGGCTGGCTTGAGTGAGCGGCGGCAGGCGGGCTTGAGAACGGCGCAGATTCGGCGAAGGAGCGTCCGGAGGGCTTTCGGCAACCACATGTAACGACCCGGGGCTGGACTCTGCTTCGTCCACGGTGAAAGCCGATCCGGCGATCGACAGTGCGAAGTTGAAGTATTTCCTCCGCGACCAGCACGGATCAGCTCCAGGCATGACAAAGCGATATCGTCCTCTTTTGGAAGGCCAAACAAAGTAGTTTTGCTTTCAAAACGAAACACAGCACCCTCACGACATGGCAGCGGCAACAACAATACTACAGCGAGAATAAAAGTTACGCCTTCTTTCTTTGCGTGAACATTGACGTAGGTATGTGGGGGCGTGTTAGAATGAGCCATTTTAGGTAGGCGTGGCTGACTCTAAACTTTTATAAAGAATATCTCTTTGGATTTGAGACTTTAGTCTTTGCAACTTTACAGATCTTCTTTATGCACCAAGAGCTTGTAACACTCCAAAGAGAAAGGAAAAATTGAAATCGCCCCTTTAAATGACCGTCTAGTTTGAACTTGCCGCTTGCTCGCAACTGTTGTGTTCACGGAAGCTTTGCGTTAAAATATCTCAACTCAAATCAATATTTCGTGTCTAATTTAGACACATATTTACTTACAACTTACTGTATGTGGCAAGTAGCCGTGTAATAAGCAGGATAATGTACATCCAGCCGGTTGTTATCGCAGAATAACCCCCAACAAAGTGTCTTGTATCACCCTGAAGGCTGGATGTACATTACCCTTACATAAAGTAATATTGGTTTCACTATGTAGAGTCTATAAGTTTTTACCTAGAGCATTTTAAAGTCGACTGTAACTCCACTTTTACATTTTAAAGCTGACATTTTAAACATTTTCATAACCACTTGCCACTGATGGCCCTCTGCCCCAGTTCACTTAAATAAAATATATTTGTTACTGTACAAATCTAAATAAATTGTCCACAAATCCCCCTTTAACAAAGAGACATAAACACGTTTAATGTCTAACATAAAATAAACTCAAAGATCACTATAATCCAATGTCAATCAATCAATACATTAATAAATTTGATCTCATAACTGTTCAGATATAATATATTTAACAAATGTTGGTGTTCAGATGAAGAGGCCTAATAAATAAGAGCATAGCCATTCAGTAAATGTCAAGAGATAATATTTGGTGGTCAAGAGGAAAATTAAAGATGGGCATCTTAACCCATCTAAGCATAAATGTCATAAAATAAACATCACATTCTAAGTCCAGGATTTTGTTTTTGCCTCGCATACCTTTTTTGCAGATCAGCATTGTGCCTATTAACCCTGTATTGTAGTCCTTAACAATGTCAAAGTGGGAAAGGTATGTGTAGGTGATGCATGGGGGGTCCGCAGCTGTAGGGGTCACCTCAGAGGTCACCTCCCACTGGTATGTGTGCTTTTGGCTGGGTAAAATGACGTCATCTTCTTTCTCATAGAGTGACGTGTTGTCAAAGTATAATGATCCTAATGGGAACATTAGCAGTGTGAGAAGGATGCAGCTTCAGATGATGTTTATTACAATAAACCAACATCCATTTATCACGGGGAAAAAAATGGGTATATTGTATCTGTAATATTTATCAGAGAATCATTGCTTTAGACTTAGGCACAGCCTGTGGTTAATTTGTATCTTGGGTTAATATTTCCAAAGAAATCAAACACAGATGTTTGTGTTGCTCAAAGTGTTTACTCAGCTAAATGATGAGCACTAAAATAATCAATAATAAATAATAATAAAATAATGTTTTCTAAACAACTTTCCTCTTGAAATTTATTTCTCTGTTATTTCATAGCACAGTGTTTAATTGTTACTAGTGTGCTGTATGTTACAACACTATTGCGTCACTCATACTGTTACCACAATCACATCAGAACACACATCCTCTGACTGTGGGTGAATGCTACAGGGATGATCTGCCATGTTCTTGAACTTGACAATGATTTTGTCACCCTTTTGTCCTCACAATGTCGACCCAAGTAACAATAGAACATTAGTTTCAAACAATCATGATTTAAAAATGAAGATGCATTCTATAATACTGGATGGATGGATTTTAATGTTGAAATAAAGATGTTGAAATAAAGAAATCTTTAGTATTTAAAATACCTGAGGACAAGGGATGTGGTTTAGCCTGTGTGAATCCCTCATTATACTCTCTGTATTCGACTTTTTTTTATATGACGGTCCAGTCCTGGAATACAACAATCAGTAAATACATCTCTTACATGAGCAAATCAATTAAAACAACAACAACAACTCCCATTTGTGTGAAAATGCAATTTTATTTTACTATCACAGAGTTTTTACATTTATATATTTCCTTTTTAATTTAAAGTTTTAGTAATTTAGCTGTATGTAGCTTTTTTCATAAAAAAAAAAATTAGTATATTGATATAGTTTTTTATTAATTATAATTATTATTACTTTTTTTTTGTATATAAAGTTAAAATAAATGAAAATGGGAAATGTTGTCTTGGCATCTCGCCAAAATAAATTATTTCTTTTAAATATTGTATTTTATTTCCGTTAACTTTATTTCATTTAAAGACACAAAAATGTTTTTTAAGGTATTAATTTTAATTTACTATAATAACCAATATTTATACATTTTGAATAAAGTCTTGACATAATTGGTCTTAGATATACTATATATTATTTTCAGCAAACTTTACAGTAGATTCTGGGTGCTGGTTTAACATTTTGTCTCTTTTGTGTTGTTTGTATTTCATATAAAAAAAATGGTCACATGCCCTTGTCTTCCTTAATCATAAAATTGATTAAATATATATTAAAAAAATATATATATTTTAATGCTGTTTCTTGTTCGTTAATAAACTCTCAGTACTGTACAGATATGTAATTATTTGATACGTTTTTACAGCAGTGAATGACTTTATCTGTGATATAGGCTACAAGGACCAAACAAATAAAAGGCAGACTAACTGCGTTTTAACTAACTCAATCTAACTGCTTAGAAAAACAAAAGAATACATTTAAACCCTAATAAATAATGATCTTTTTCATACCTGTGCTGTCTGGCAGATGTGTAGTCCCAGTTAATATTAACAGCTGCAATGTAATAGTGTCTCTCCACAGCTGTGGCACAATTACACAGGAATTCCAGAAGGGCCAAACCGCACAGGGCCCCAGGAGCGGAGTTTCATATCTGACAATGAAACTCCAGGTAGAAAGAGTCTGTTCCGGAGTGCAGGGAATTCTGAACTTTCAGAGAAACGGCAGTAAGCTTTATCTCCCCCCACCTCCCTGTTGCACACATGTTTAAACACTGTGTTGGAAGGCAGTTTATCATTATAAAAAAACAAACAAACTGAAACTTCTTATTTTGTTTAGTCATTAGCAGTCTGAGGCTTTTTGAACCTGTAAAACCTTTTCATTATTGTGAGCAAATGTTTTGTTTATAAAAATGGAAAACACCAAGTTACCATATGAACATATTTGCCAGTTCAATCATTCCCATTGGAAACAAATGCAGGCATAAATTACACATATGCAAAAATATTGCTCATTGTCATTATGTAGCCAACTAACTATATCTGCACAAAATGAAGAGGTTCTGCACCATGTTTCGCCAACATCTATATAGCCTAAGTGCTTACTGTAAATGTGACAATCATGAAATCTGAAATAAATGAATATGGTTTTCAGTTTCTAAGATATTTCCTAATTACACTTTTACGCCCCAGAGAGCAATTTCATAATAAGTGTTTACTCATAATCCCAATGATTTCCCTTGAATAGTTTCTTCATACAATGCTTGTTTACAGTATACAAGTTGTATAAATGTGTGAGTAAAATGAGTCTGTGCATCTAAAGATTAAATGGGTACAGTCTGGACCTTGTTTAACACTTAGGCTACCTCCAACATAGCTATAGACCATCACGTCAAAGGTAATTACCTTTAAAGAACATAAAACAATATTTGTTATTACAAACTGAGCTTTATGTAATATTGCACATGACTCAGCCATGACCACATTTCCCTTAGAAGTGTTTTTCGGGCAAACACATCTATTTAGAATTTTCTATCAAACCGTCCTCATTCTACATTTTCCAGACAGAGAACGGACAATGCGTTAAAACAATAAAATGAATATTAAACATTATACACTGTACAACATTTAAAACATTTAAAAATGTAAAACATACAGCATTAAGCTGAATGTTAAAAGTCAAAATGTTTACAACAACTAATTTAAGATATTGTTATCTGAAAAAAAGCACATTTAGTGGTTAAAATCAACCCATTCAGGGTAGCGTTAGTAGTCCAATTCTGTTTAACTTAATGATTAAGGACATTTTTATAATGGTTGATAGTGGGATAGGAAGATCTTTGTATGCAGATGATGGTGCGTTGTGGAAAAGAGGGCGTAATGTTGCGTACGTGGAAAGGTGTATGCAGACTGCTGTTAATAATGTAGAGAATTGGGCTAATGAATGGGGTTTCCGGTTTTCTGTAGCAAAAACGCTATGCGATATGTTTTTCTAAAAGAAGAATCAATCCTACAGTTAATATTAAAATGTATGGTCAAGAGTTGGAGCAAACATCAGTTGTTCGATTTCTAGGAATATGGATGGATTCGAAGTTGAATTTGAAAATCCATATTCAGAAATTGATGGACAAATGCAAAAAGCATTAAATGTAATGAGATGTCTAGCAAGAGTTGATTGGGGAGCTTGCAGACAGTCCCTTAAAATAATTGATTGTGCTCTGATAAGATTGGCTCTTGATTATGGCAGTATGGTATATAGCTCTGCATCTAAAACACAACTTTTAAAATTAGAGGCAATACAATCACAAGCAATGCGAATTTGTTGCGGAGCTTTTAGATCGTCCCCATTATCAGCAGTTCAGGTAGAGATGAGCGAGATGCCTCAAGAATTTCGTAGGCTCAAGTTAAGGATGAGGTACTGGATAAGTATAAAAGGACATTCGGACGTTCATCCAGTCAAAATGGTGTTGAAGGACTGTTGGGAATATGAATCCAAAAAGTTAACAAGCCTTGGATGGAAGGGCAATGAGGAAGCACAGAAAATGGGTTTAAGTGATATACATATTGCTCCTACTGTGGCTAGGTCAGCAATTCCTCCTTGGCTTTTCCCAATGCCTTTGATTGATATCCAGTTGCATAAAAAAAAACATAACAATGAAACAAGTCTATTAGAAAGTTCAGCTGCACAGAAATATATAGATCTTACATATTATAGTGTAGTACAAATATACACTGATGGTTCAAAGCATCCAGACTCTGGGAAAACAGCTGTAGCAGTATATATATTCCCCTATTTAAAATTAAAATGTCAAAAAGATCTTCAGATCATATTTCTGTATTTACTGCAGAGCTAATAGCAATCTTACTAGCACTTCAGTGGATAGAAGAAATACAACCAACAAAGGCAGTGATATGCACAGATTCTCTTTCAGCACTAAACAGTTTGTCAAGTGGAAATTCATTAGCAAGACAAGACATGATAAATGAAGTAATGCAGAGTAGTATGGACAGTATGGACTTCTGGTAAATTTCGTGTGGGTACCATCACATATAGGTGTGAATGGAAATGAGGAGGCTGATCATTTGGCTAAACAGGCATTAAATCATTCACAAATAAACATTGAAGTGGCATTAAGTAAAACAGAAATAAAAGCGATAATAGCGAAAGAAATACAGGAAATATGGCCGAATGAATGGAAAGAAGGAACATTTACACTGCATACAAGAAAAAGTTGGTTCAGAGAGAAGAAGATTTGGAAACAGGAAAGAGGACGTTATAATTGCAAGAATGCGTATTGGTAATTGTTTATTAAATCAGTGCTTACATAGAATAGGAAATTGTGACAAATGTGGGTTAACAGAAACTGTAGAATATGTACTTATAGAATGTGAGGCTTATGAAAGAGAACGTTTCCAACTAAGTCAAGCTTTAAGGTATCTGGAAATAAATGATCTGTCACTCCAGGTTTTGTTAGGCGATGGATCTAAGCAATCAAGAATATATCGCGAATTCGTTATTTATTTAAAGGAAACAGGATTGATTAATAGGATGTAGGATACCGGGTTTGGGGTTAGGTTTTTTTTATTTATTAAATTGTAATTTTTATTTAAAAAATTTGTTTTTTTTTAAGGTAGCTCTTGTTTCTAAAGTTCCTATTCATTGTGCGCTTCACACTCCTTTCCAGTAGGAAACCTTTTAAGTTGGTTTGCCAACCGCCATTAAATCCTAAAAGAAGAAGAAGAAGAAGAAGAACCCAGTCCAGCCAAGCGGTGACGTAGCTTGTTTAACAAAAAAATGTTACGTGTTACTTCCCTAACATGTCTACTACTTACGCAAACGTTGATCACACTACAAACAATACAACAATACAAA